GTTGTAAACTGATGTTTGTTTACCTTTGCTGATGTTTACTTTGGAGTTCCTGGTGGTTTTTAACTCAAGTAAAATGTTAATATTTTATCACTTGTAAACTGATGTTTGTTTACCTTAGTTGATGTTTACTTTGGAGTTCCTGGTGGTTTTTAACTCAAGTAAAACGTTAATATTTTATCAGGTGTAAAGTGATGTTTGTTTACCTTTGCTGATGTTTACTTTGGAGTTCCTGGTGGTTTTTATGCCACGTAAAATGAATTGGTTTGTCACCAAAAGCTTCACATACAAGGCTGACTCTGTTTCCTTCCTTTACAGTAAGTGAGGTGAACTTCACCTGAAACATAGGTGGCGCTGAAAGAAAAGAAAATATCTAATTATGATGCTTTCAAACACAGATTTTGAACGTTGAGATTTTGATTAATTTTTTTATATGACAAACTTAAGCTTTAATTTCAAAATACAACTCAGACACAAAACAATTGTATTCAGGAAGGATATCAAAGATAAACTTGGATTACAAACTTCGTTATCAAAGATAAACTTGGATTATAGACCTCGTTATCTAAATAGATTTGGAACATACTTGTCTGTTAATACCATGAATGTATCCTGAAATCTGTGATCAATTTACTTTTTTTTTTACTGAAGTTCTTTACTATAGTAGAAAGTTCGTCAAACGAAAGAATCCCAGTAACAAGTAAAAAAGGAAAATCTCCAAAGTGTGTATGTATTAATACGCTAACTTCTTTGAGAATCGCAGTAATAGCTTACCATAAACACTCAGTTTGAAGACAGTACTTATGGTAGAGCCTACTCCGTTACCGGCTTCACACATATATCGGCCTTGGTCCTCCTGCGCCACCTGGTGGATAACTAGGGAACCATTGACTAAGGTTTGTACCCTAGCACCGCTGATAATAGTTTTGTACTGGGTCGACAGCTCACCTGATAGAGAAGATATATGAGACACGAGAGAAACTAAATATGTATTTGTAGTGGCATCTCGTAGTCACGAATTGTCACGTTTCTTGTGGGATTTACTCTGTATATTTCACACCTTAGGAACTACTCTGTATTTTTCACAGTTTATGTTCACGCTTATAATGGAATAAACTAAAATGACAAATTTAATAAATTCTTTCTTCTTGACAGAGTGGTAAAGAAACCGATATAATTTGTTTTTTTTTCTTGATTATTATTTCAAATGGCGTTATAAAAATCAAATGACAAATTCATGAATTTCATGACTTAGCTACTAACCTGTTGATTTTTTCCAAATAACACGAGGTTCCGGTCTTCCTAGAGCTTGACAGTGTAACGTAGTAGAGCTTCCGGTAACGACGGACAAATCCGTGGGCTCAATTTTCCAACGAGGAGGAGCTGCAATCAGTAGAATTAGTTAAGTACGCCAAACAGCAAATCTAAGTTTTCGATTTAAAGGTTTATTCTCTTTAACGATCGGAGTGCAAAGGTTTTGTTTATGGCGTTTTAGAGCAACGCCATATTCGGCTATCTGCTGTGCCCACAAGGCGAGACAGTGTTTAAACCACAGTTAACCACAGCTAGACAGTGTTTAAACCACAGTTAACCCCAGCTAGACAGTGTTTAAACCACAGTTAACCACAGCTAGACAGTGTTTAAACCACAGTTAACCACAGCTAGACAGTGTTTAAACCACAGTTAACCACAGCTAGGCAGTGTTTAAACCACAGTTAACCACAGCTAGACAGGTGTTTAAACCACAGTTAACCATAGCTAGACAGTGTTTAAACCACAGTTAACCACAGCTAGACAGTGTTTAAACCACAGTTAACCATAGCTAGACAGTGTTTAAACCACAGTTAACCACAGGTAGACAGTATTTAAACCACAGTTAACCACAGGTAGACAATGTTTAAACCACAGTTAACCACAGCTAGATACTGTTTTACATACCGTTGACGATCAAGGAAGAAGAGTAGTTTACAACTGCTGCTTCGTTTGATGCTTCACAAGTGTAGGTGGCGCTGTGAATTGGCTTAAGGTTTTTGAATATTAAAGTGGACATGAACATATCGGTAGGCTCTACTAAAAGGCTTCCGTCAGGTTCGAGTGGAGATTCATCTTTTAACCACGTGATCTGAACAGGTGGATCCCCTTCTTGAACGATGCACGTCACACTTGTACGGATGCCCTCTCGTGGCGCAGCAGGAAAGGAAAATGGTGTTATTACAGGTGGAACTGAAAAAACAAGTGATCAACTTTAAAAGCTTCTTAAAAAAAAAGAATAAAATGAAAAATGGCTCTCAGAATATGAGACAAATAAATATAATGTTTAATTACAAACAAACAAATATGTTTTCTACTAATACAAGTAGAATATCAAGAAATGAAATATGATACAGTTAAACCATTTTTTATGTAATCCAGGATACTCTGAAATGTTATGGTTTAAATTCTCAAACAATTTCTGAATTCATTGTTTCTATCTTCGTGATCTGTGTCTAAAAATATCAGGTCGTAA